CCGTCTGGCCCAGGGGGTTTATCCAGCCTTGTGTTTTTCAAAAGCACATCCTCCTTCCTAATATCAAACTGTTTGAGCATATCAGCCTGTTTCACGCTGTCCTCACAAAACGTCAAGGTCCTTCTCACTGGTGAATACTGAAGCAAAGTATTCACCAAGGACCTCCCCGACCTCCTCCAACTCTGCATAGAAGTTCCCTCCACTGTCCCTGATTGACCCTACCCTCACGCTGGCCATCCTCTTGCTCCTCACAAGTATAGAACGCCCTGGGGTTTTCCTTAATCCTACCCACCAAGGCTTTTTCATACCCCGTTCTATTCCACAGGGATCTGTTCTGGGACCTCTGTGATCTTTATAAGTGCAGTGGTAACATTAGAAACCTCATGCTTTAATAAAAATAAAATAGCTCTAGTGATATTAAAATGCATATGCAAATAGAATTCCTTCGTTGCTTATGGATAGGTCTACCACAGGCATGCTGACGATGCATGTTTTGTAGAGGTTTGGTTTAAGAGCATAACTTTTAATTTTGTTCTTTCCTGGAATTTGGATGATGTTGGATGGGCCAGCATTTGTTGCTCATCCCTATTTGCCCTTGTACTAAGCTTGTTGGTCATATCAGAAAGCAGTTAAGAATCCGTTACTTTATAATGGATCTGGGGCCACATATAAGGGCATATAAACCAGTTGGAATTTTATACCAGTGATAGTTTGTGGTAGTTTTATAGATGGTGAGATTTGAAACCATATACCTAGAACAATAGCCTGGGCCTCTGGATTACTAGCCCAGTGATATTCTCACTATGTATTCATCCTGTATTATAAACATTCTAAACATTTAACAAATATTACAGAAAATAGTTTGTCATAGTCAGAGAGTCATACTGTACAGAAACAGGCCCTTGGGCCCACCAGTCTGTGCTGACCAAACAACAAACTAGACTAATACCATTTACCTGCACTTAGTCCATAAATTACTGTGCCCTGGTATTATAAGTGTTTGTTACCATTGATATAATGGAAGCAAGAAATATTGGCATTTATAGCCTTATGTCAAATATTTCAGTTTTACTTAAAAATGGAAAAAAGGAGGAGTAGGCCATTCAGGCATTCAAGTCTGCTCCACCATTTTTTTTAAATGTTCACTCGCAGGATGTAGGCAACTCTGGCTAGGCCAGCATTTATTGCCCATCCCCAATTATCCAGAGGGCAATTAAGAGTCAGCCACATTGCTGTGAGAGTCACACGTAGGCTACTTAAACCTATATCCCCTAGTTTTGGACTCCCCTACCAGAGGAAAAAGACCTTGACTATTCACCTTCTCTATGCCCTTCACGATTTTATAAACCTCTGTAACGTCACCCCTTAGCCTCTGACACTCCAGGGTAAAAAGTCCTAGCCTGTCCTTGTAAACCCCCAGACCCAGCAACATCCTTGTAAATTTTTTCTGCACCCTTCCTAGTTTAACAACCTCTTTCCTAAAGCAGGGTGACCAGAATTTTAAGTCTAGAATTAAGAGTCTATTGATGACTGTGAAACAATTGCTAACTAATATCCTTCATCCTCACCTGGTCTGGCCTACATGTGACTCTAGACCAAAAGCAATGGGGGTAAGGATGGCAATTTCCTTCCCTAAAGGACATTTGCAAACAGATTCACTTTACCAACAATTGACAATAGTCATCATTAGAGCCTTAATTCCAGATTCTTTATGGAATTTGAATCCAAGTCCCCAGAACAATAGCTGAGTTCTGGATGAATTGTCCAGTAATAATACCACGATGCCATTGCCTCCCATACAGAACATCTTTTTTTCTTCAAACCCTTTGATTCCTTTCGCCCTAAATACTATTTCCTTCTTGAAAACATTCAGTGTTTTGGCTTCAACTGATTTTTATGGCAGAGAATTCCAAAGGCTGCCACTCTGGGTGAAGGCATTTTTCCTCATTTCAATCCTAAATAGCCTACCCTGCATCCTTGGATTGTAACCCCTGGTTCTGCACTCCCCAGTCTTCAGGAACATCCTGCATTTACCCTGTCTCATCCTGTTATAAATTTTATAGGCTCCTAGGAGATAGCCCCTCCCCTCATTTTTTCTGAACTTCAGTGAATATAGACCTAACAGATGCGGTCTCTCTTCAAAATTCACATAATTCTGAATGCAAGTACATATTTTGCTGCAATGGCACAGTTAGTGTAGAATGTTTATATAATAAGAGAATACATTATTTTCCAGTAATTATTACACAGGGTTGTTCATTTCACTATAGTTATTGGCTAAGAACTTGTACATCTAAATTAGGACTAATTTTAAAGAGTGCCTACTTTTACAGATTGCTATAAATGGCTGTCTGAGTAAGCGTAAATGTTTTAATGTCTTGGGGCTGTTTTTTGAATGGATTTTTTTATTGAAGCTTTATCCACCTCAGCCATTAAACTTGCATTTTCATTCTGCTGCATTTAAGGTAATCAGCAAAAGAACCAAGAGGGGAGATGAGATTTTTTTTCCACATAAATTATGATCTGAAATTAGCTACCTGAAGGGGAGGTAATGGTCTGGTGGTATTATCGCTAGATTATTAATCCAGAAACTCAGCTAATGTTCTGGGGGCCCAGGTTCGAATACTGCCACAGCAGATGGTGGAATTTATCATAGAGTCACATGGTCTTACAGCACAGAAACAAACCAATCCAACTCATCTATGCTGACCAGGTATCCCAAAATTAACTGGTCCCATTTGCCTGTGTTTGGTCCATATCCTCTAAACTATTCCTACCCATGTACCTGCCCAAAGGTCTTTTGGATGTTGTAATTGTATCTGCCTCTACCACTTCCTCTGACTGTTCATTTCATATACCTACCACCTTCTGTGTCAAAAAGTTGCCTCTTTGGTCCCTTTTAAATCTTTCCAATAAACTTAAACCTATGCCCTCAACTTTTGGACTCCCCTACCCTAGGAAAAGACCTTAGCTATTCACCTTATCTATGCCCTTCATGATTTTATAAACCTCTCTAAGGTCACCCCTTAGCCTCTGACAGGGAACATAGCCCCAGCCTGTCCTTGTAACTTCAACCCTCCAGACCCAGCAACATTCTTGTAAATTTTTCTGCACCCTTTCTAGTTTAACAACATCTTTCCTTTCAGGGTGACTAGAATTGTAAATCTCAAATTAAGAGCCTATTGATGACAAAGAAACCATTGCAGATTGTCAGAATCTGCCTCACTAACATCCTTCACCCTTGCCTGGTCTGGCCTATATGCAACTCCAGACCCCAAGTAATGTGGTCAACTCTCAACTGCCCTCCGAAATGGCCTAGCAAGCCATCATTTGTTTAAGGACAGCTAGAGATAGGCAATAAAGTGTCCAGCCAGTGACGCTCAGGTCCTATAACTGAATTAAAAAAAGGGACTGGGGATGTGGAAAGAACCAATTACATAGGAGTACAATTATATGTTAACGATTACATAGGAGTAGTACCAATTACGTAGTTCTTTCAAGGGTTGAGCAAAAGTGCAGTCGGCTAAATGAGTCAGGTTTATGTTGTATGATATAACGTTATCACTAAAGCTCAAATTTTATGACCAAGGAACAAAGCTGAAAATATCAGCTTTTTCTCCCCCCACTCAATGCATTTTCACATTTATAAACTCCAGTTGGCTCAGGCTAAGGCCGTCTTTGCCCTGGTATGTGTTCGGTGTTAATGAAGTAACATTGTCCACATGGATAAGTACAAGTAGGAAAGGCTTGCAGGGATATGGGCCAGGAGCAGGCAGGTGTAACTTGTTCAGTTTGGGATTACTGGTTTGGCATGGACTGGTTAGGCCGAAGGATCTGTTTCCATACTGTACGACTCTATATAATTGATAAAGGCATTAAACTCTTGGTTATGTTAACATGGAAAGAATTGAGTTCTATGGTTTAATCAGAATTAGGTTCCAGACACACATTCCCCTCCCCTCCCCTCGTCTGCCTTCCGCAGGGACCATTCCCTCCAGGGCACCCCGGTCCATACTTCCTTCACCCCCCAACACCTCCCCACAGCCCTACGGCACCTTCCCCTGTAACTGGCGAAGGTGCAACACCTGCGCATTTACCTCCTCCCTCCCCAGTATCCAAGGGCCCAAACATACCTTCCAGGTGAAGCAACACTTCACCTGCACTTCCAAGAATCTAGTCTACTGCATTTGCTGCTCACAATGTGGTCTCCTCTACATTGGAGGAACGAAGCGTAGACTTGGCGACTGCTTCGCAGAACATCTACGTTCTGCTCGCAAAAAAGACCCTGAACTACCTGTTGCCTGCCACTTCAATGCTCCACCTTGCTCCCTGGCCAACATTTCTGTCTCCGGCTTGCTACAGTGTTTCAGTGAAGCCCAGCGCAAGCTGGAGGAACAACACCTCATTTTCTGCTTGTGGACCCTGCAGCCCTCCGGACTCAATATTGAGTTAAATAATTTTAAGGCCTAAACTCTCCCATGTCCCAGCCCCCCACCCCACACACCAGGCCTTGTTACCACATAGCCTGCCATTACACACCCCCTGTTGTTAGTCACTAACAGTCCCCATTAACAACTATTCACCCTCGCAGCCCGATTGTTAGCAACTCCTTTGTCTGTCCAACTGTCTTTCTCTCTTTGGGCTCTATCCTATCGTTTACTCCCTACCCCACCCACCTTCTGCATATAAACTGACGTTTTCCCAGCCACCATCAGTTCTGAGGAAGGGTCACCCGAAACGTTAACTCTGTTTTCTCCTCCACAGATGCTGCCAGACATGCGGAGCTTTTCCAGCAACTTCGTTTTTGCTCTTGTTTCGTTTCAGAAGGAAGTTGATAAATTTGACATCAATTTCATTATAGTTGCTTGGAACAATGGTTACACAACTAGACATACTTGTTTATGAATATCAAATATTCAGAATATAATATTCTTTTTCTGTAGGCCAGTCATTTATCACTTTAGCTAGTGTAATTTTAAAAAGGTTTCCTTTTCTTATAGATGCATGGCTGGAGAAGGGATAACTCCTACACCCTTCTTAAGAAGTCAAAGAAATCACGAAAGGATGATAGGAAGGGGAGCCATTGTGTGTTCTGTGCAGAAATGGTGCCCATCCCAAAAAAGAAAGCCTTCCAAAATATTGATCAGTCTAGCCTTTTATCCAAATCACCCAGCAGTACAATGGTGTACAATTTCACAGAGAGGAATACCAACTCCTCTACTGAGGGAGCACCTCCTGTCTCACAAACTAAGTTGCAGCTGTACAGCTCCACAGTTTCAGAGAGACAAACAACTAAAGGCACTCAAGAACTTCATGTCCAAGGCAACAAGAGCGAGCCTGAAGTTAACTCATCTCAGGAAATAGAGTGTGAAATTATCAATGCAGATCCTGACCAACAGACACCAGCAACAAAGCATTTTTCTGTGCTGCCGCCTGTAAAAACGGCCAATGGTGATGAAACATTTGTCTCAGGTTTCAAAACAGAAAAAACATTTTGTTTGGACTTACAAAATGGCAACCGAGATCTGCAAACTGTGAGTGTAGTGTCGAAGCACAATAACAAAGACAGTTTGGGCATTAGGGCCCATGCTTGTAATATGGCCATGTTACAGGTCAGCAAAATCCCAAAAGTTGGAAATTCTGCTCCTGTTGGATTTACAAGGATTCCCTTCCTGAGCACCATGCATCATTGGTGCTGGCAATACTCTTTGATGCAAGGCCACCAGAACCTGGCCATCAACGGTGTTCCAGCCTCCAAAATAATAGAGTGCCACAGCATTAGAGTACAACCCTCCAAAATAACAAAACACCACACAAAGAACTACAAGCAAGCCAACTACAGTAAATCTACTTATACTCACAGTACTCCAATTAATATACGTTCAAACAGAATAAGACACAGGAATGTCACAGAAAGAGATATTCTCCCAGTGATTCCACAGCCAGGACCACCACAGTTATCAGGAACCACTATACCAATCTCCATATTGTCACACAAATTTCTATAGTCTTATCAAATTTTCTCCTCTTTTCCCTCCCCAATCCGAGGGTTAGTGGTTATCAAGATTGATCAGAGTGCTCGTTGCCATCCTGGGTGAGATTAGCTAACTCAGTACAGACCATTCTGCAGATGCCACACCCAGACTGGAAAGTTTATTGTGGTGTCACAGGGAAGGGGAAGTAGTAATCTAGAATTAATAATGCACAATAATTCATTATGTTGATTAGCAAACAACACAGATGTACTTGGGATAGCTATATTCACTTGCAGTGATAAATGCTTCTATTAATTTATGTAAAATGAATCTAGTATGGCAGAACCTCGAATGATGTTATACAAGTGCACGTGCAGATCTCAAATTACAATATCCAAAATGCATTTTGTCTCGCGTCACATGATTTAATTTCATCTTTTGATGAGAACCATAGTAGCAAAACAAGATTATTATTTTATTTTTTTTTTTTTTTTTTTAAAAAAGACTAGCTATAAACCTGGTGTAAGATTCATTTACCAATTTCCCCTTCACTAAGGAATCGACCATCTGGGATAGAATTTATAGCAATTCTCCAAAGTTTCTGCTAAGTTACAGCAGGAAATTTTATTTGGTCTCCAAAATAAAACAGCTCATCTTTCACTTCTCCACAATATGCTGAATCATCCCTAGATAATTTTGTTTAAAAATCTGCTGTACCTAAATAACTATAACTATGACCAATAACGTGTGCGCGCGTGTGTGTGTATCCCCTATCCTCACCATACACACTTCAAATAAATCACTGGATAGACAACCAGGAGCAGTGACCTAGGATAATTATTTCCTGGCCTATTATAGACCCTGGCCTATTCCATTACAATTAGCCTACATTGTTGTCTTATGTAGATGTATGTATCTGATGTGTACATGCATAAATAGTTTCACTAAAATGATAAAAATCACTGCAGACTTCTTTGACTGTCATCGATAACTTACTGAGAAAGGAGATTTGTTTCAAATGATGCCCTAGGCAAATTTTAAGGCATCAACCTAACGGGTGACTTTTTTTATTCATTCAACACATTGCTGTGATAAGGATGGCAGATTTCCTTCCCTATATGGCATTAGTGAACCAGAAGCATTTATATGACAATCAATAACAGTTTAATGGTCATCATTGAACCCAGGACCCAGAACATTACCTCGGTCTGTGGATTTATAGTCGAGCAATAATACAACTCAGCCAACACCTCCTCTGGCTTGCAATTTGAGGCCAACTGGCTTGTAACTTGAGAATTTCTTTTCTCTTTTTATAACTAGTGTTATATCTGGAGTCAACACATACCAACCGAATATGGATTGTTACATACAACGCATCTGAAGCATACAAAGAAACTATTCAAGTTCTGTAGTGGTACATTGTCAGCGGTGTTGATATAAACAATAACCACACTTGTTTTCTTCTAGAAAGATCATACACCTTTGGATAAAAAACATGGAACACAGAACCATGGAACATTCAGCGAGAAATATTGGACTAAATTGAGAGTCAAAAGCAAGAAACTTACCCCTGGATGTTTTCTACGAGTCTTATTTTTAATAGTTATAAAAATGTTATTTATTGTCCAATTTCTATTTCACTAAGTGCCACTCATCAGCCCTTATGCATCAATTCATTGTGAAATCAGAAACCATAGGGACTCCCTCCTTTGTGGGTAGGCATCTCTTCATACTAATATGAGAGTTTAAGAAGCCATACAAAATTGCAACTAATAACTGGCACCCGACCATGCTGGATTCTGAATCAGAGCTACATTTTTTGAAGATTCATTGCCTGAAACCTGTTGGAAGAATCTGAAAGCCTGAAGCAATACTAAAGTTGTAAGGATGAAATTGGCAGTGCATATGGCGGGGGGTTGCCTACTGCTGGTGGAAAGGATTGCCCAGGACAGGCGTCCCTGGAACATGTGGTTTTACATTAAAAATTATGCATTTGGTTAATTAAACATTTTTAATATGTCAACTTATTTCAATAGAGAAAACATCTCATTTGCCTTTAAGTTCTACCAACAGTCACTATCCCACATATAATCTTCCTACAGGCATTCAGGACTCCAGGCCGAGACACTGCACCCCAACTGAAAACTTCATCGTTGCACAAATACATTCTATTGATCTCTCTTTCTCTGTTCACCAGCGTTCCAGCTGGAGGGATCTGCAACACACAGAGGAGTAAATGATTATGAAAGCTTTTGTCAGGTCCCATTTTGATGTAATGCACTCAGTTCTGGACATTGCTTCAGAAGGGATATATTGGTCTTGAAAGGTTGGAAATCCAGCTATTCCTAAGCTAAATGGTCTTAATTTGAGGGCAAGTTGTACAGCGTAGGCTTGTATCCTGACCTTGGATGCAGATGAAAGGGCAATTGAATTGTGTAAGGAATTGACAGGGTAGACAGCAAAACTTTTTTCAGGCACGAGGGTCCAGAACCTCAAAAGAAATAATTTGTTATCCTCAGTGAGGTTACACTACTGATCAACAAAACTGCTGTGTGATGCAAAGGATATTAGATGAAAAGAGAATTGTTATTTCCAAGAATGATAGTAAGCCTGAGGATTGGGGAGTTTTAGAAATAGCCAAAGAGTGATGCAGAGGTAAAAATAAATGAGTGTCAGAATGATAGAATCGTTACAGTGTGGAAACAGGCCATTTGGCCTGAGTCCATACCAACCCTCCAAAGTGTATTCCACCCAGACCCACCCCACCTCCCCAACCCTATTCCTGTAACCCTGCATTCCCCATGGCTAACCCACCTAGCCTGCACATCCCTGGACACTACAGGCAATTTAGCATGGCCAGTCCACATAACCTGCACATCTTTAGACTGTGGAAGGAAACCCATGCAGAGAATGTGCAAACTCCACACAGACAGTTGCCGAAGGGTGAAATTGTAGAAAGAATTAAAGAACATAAGAAGAAATAGAGTGCAGAAAAAAGGATGAAACAAATACATACATCCCCGAGGCTGACACAGGAGAAATTATATTGGGGAATGAAGAAACGGCTGAGATTAAGCTCCTATGCTCCTATGCTGCTGCTTGGCCTGCTGTGTTCATCCAGCCCTGCACCTTGTTGTCTGAGACTAAGCTGATTTTGTATCTGTTTTTACAGAAATTAGAAACAGTGGGGGTTAAAGGAGTAATAAAATTGGGAACTTGAGAATAAACAGTAGTGAACTTAACAATGGCATTTTAACAGGTGACTACAGAGTTGGTGGTTGCATTTGCTGTGAATACACGAGATGCTAGGACAAACCTAGAAGTGAGAAAACACCACTATTCCAGTAGGGGAGAGAAAAATCAGAACCACAAGCTGATCAGGCTGACATCAGTACTCAGAAAAATGCTGAAATCTATTTTAATAGAGCATGTAGAAAATCATAAAATGGTTGGATAGAGAGAGACAACATTGTTTAATGAAAGGGAAATTATGCCAACAAATGTATTGAAAGCTTTTGAGATGCAATGAAATGGGTTGGATAAAGGGGAACCAGCTAATGTATCTTTAAATTTTTCAAAGACATTCAATAAGTCTAACCACATAAAAGATGATCGCACAAGGTTAGGATTCACGTGTTTGGGGAAAACAGCATGGCTGAAGGATAGGTTAAAAACAGTATGAATAAACGGTAAACAATTTTGAGACAATTCCTAATGATGCTTGACTGAATGGATGCTGAGGAAATATTTCTCTTGCTGGGGAATCTAGAACATGAGGTCAGTCTTAGATTAAGGGGCCACATAGGACAGTCTCTCATTTCTTCTGAAGGGTTGTGAATGTTTGAAATTCTCTAACCCCAAGAGCTGTGAATGTTCACTTCTTGAGTATACTCCAAGCAGAAGTCAATAGAATTTTAGGTATGAAAGAGTTAAGGGATAGTGAGAGAATGTGGCATTCAATAAAATCATGGTTATTTTTCTATTGCAATGTTGAGAAAGATCAAAGAACTAAGTGACATACTAGTGTTTTGTAGTATGAACTGCAGCATCAAGACTGGGCGTGCAAAAGTTTTAACAGTAAGTAAAATAGGAGTGCAACCCTGACCACTATCAATAGTTGATTATGGCCACTTTTGGAATACTGTGTTCAATTCTGGTTTCTCTGCTATAGGAAAGACATTGTTAAACTTGAAAGGTGCAAAAAAAATTTACAACGATGTTGCCAGGGTTGGAGAGTTTGTGCTATTGGGAGAGGCTGAATAGCTATTTTCCCCAAAGTGTCAGAAGCTGCAGGGTGACCTTAGGAGGTTTATAAAATCCTGAGGGGCATGGATAGGATGAATCGTCAAGGTCCTTTTTCCCCGGGGTAGGGGAATCCAAAACTAGAGGGCATAGATTTAAGGTGAGAAGGGAAAGATATAAAAGTGACCTAAGGGGCAATTTTTTCATGCAGAGGTGCATGTATGGAATGAGCTGCCAGAGGAAGTGGTGAAGGCTGTTACAATAACATTTAAAAGGCACCTGGATGGGTACAAGTATAGGAAGGTGTTAGAGGGATTTGGGTCAAATGCCGGCAAATGGGACTAGATTTGAGCTGGACCAAAGGGTCTGTTTCCATGCTATACATCACTATAACTCTAATATCATTTGTAATGGAGATTACAAGTTCAAAATGTAAACCTACTATGCTGCTAATGTATTGAGTGAATCTCCTTGACCTATCTTTGAGATCCATTAATGACAGTAATTGCAGTGCACTTCACGAGGACATGTCTGGTCTACAGCTTAGACACTGAAGAATTGCATACAGGTGATCACAACATTAGACATCCCCAAAAAGGCTTGAATTTGTCCATAGATTGGTGATCACTAAGCTGGAAAGAAACCAAGTGACCTCAGTACTTAGTAGGAACTGTACAATTGGTCTCACTGTCCCAGCTTTAAGAGACATAGAAATTGGTAAATGTGACAAACCTTACATCATTAAAGTATATATTAATTTTAAACAAGCCCATGTTATTGGACAGTCTGGCAATGCAACATCCAGACTTGTATGAGCAATTGCCCTGACTACCTAACCAAAAGCTATCGGCATCTAACTAAGGACCAAGTTTCACAAAGAAATCGAACACCATCAGGAAGCAGGTTACCAAGAAAAGGGGAAAAGAAATGGCTTGGGACCATTCTCCAGAAATCATCAGGCAAACCTGGCGTTTAATATTTCATTAACATTCATTCCAAGCTTGAGCTAAACTTGAGAGATATATCAGGTTCACCGAGAACAAAAGGTTTTTCCAAGGTAGAAAGTGGTCCTAAAAATCTTGAGCAATGCTTTCCAAACTCTGTCCTCATTGTGATACCATTTTGAAGATTGAAAATTACACAGACTGAGTGAGATTGTCCTTTTTTGGGGTGGCGGTGGAGGTGGTATTGGTGGCAGTGTGGGCCATTACTACCTGAGCTCACTTTCCCCAAACTTTCATGTTTATGATCCCACTTTGGGTCCCAAACTCTAAATTTGGGAAGTCCTGATCTTAAAAAAAGAAAAAGGAGGAATTGAATCTACATACTTTGCAGGATCACCAAATATCTTGAAGCACTTTATAGCCAATGAAGTTTCTCAAAATTATTTCATGTAATGTTGACATTAGGGCCAGCGTTTATTGCTCATAGAACAGTTGACAATTAACTATGTTACTCCAGGTTCACAGACATGTAGGCCAGGCTGGAATGGCAGCTTTCTTCCTCTACAGGTTTTTCCCGACAATCAACAACTGTTTCATGGTCATCATTAGACTCCATTCCTAATTTTTATTGAATTCAAATTCTGCCATCTGGCATGGTGCCCAGAACATTACCTGGGTCTCTGGAGTAATAAAAAGGTCAAATCACTGTTATCCCAGAGGACCATGGGCTGCTCTCTCAAAAGAAAGACACTGAAGGTTACAGTGCCTCAGGTGAGGGTCAAGGTCGAGAAGACATGACCTTCATGTTGAACTCGGACAGCCTGTGCTATAGGAATCAGTTTGCATTACAAACCAGCTGTCCATCCAACAGCTAACTGACCCCCAAGATTAATAGTCTAGGTGATAATATCAACAGGCCATCACTTTTCAAAGAAAAAAAGTTAAAGTTACCAGAGTCTTCTGAGACCAAAGGGCTGCTGTCAGGTTAGAGAGAGATGATTTGTGGTGATTTAACCTGAGGCTCATCACACCTCAGGCAAGGGGGAAAGGTTAAAGTTGAGAAGCTGCACACCAGCTGTCCAGCTGAATGAGATAATGGACCCCAGGGAGTAGTCACTGCCACAATGCAGAAAACATGGCAGGCGATTTCCATATAGCAAGTTCCTGCAAACAGCAGTATGACAATAACGAATTGATTTGTAATGTTGATTGAAAAATAAATACAAATACAGTTCTACAATTAGGTTTCCAAGGATGTTGCCAGGGTTGGAGGGTTTGAGCTACAGGGAGAGGCTGAACAGGCTGGGGCTGTTTTCCCTGGAGTGTCAGGGCTGAGGGGTGACTTTATAAGAGGTTTATAAAATCATGAGAGGCATGGACACGGTAGATAGGCAAGGTCTTTTCCCGGGGTGAGGGAGTCCAAAACTAGAGGGCATAGGTTTAAGGTGAGAGGAGAAAGATTTAAAAGGGACATAAGGGCAACTCTTTCACGCAGAGAGTGGTGCAGGTATGGAATAAGCTGCCAGAGGAAGTAGTGGAGGCTGGTACAATTACAACATTTAAAAGGCATCTGGATGGGTATATGAATAGGAAGGGTTGAGGGGGATATAGGCCAAATGCTGGAAAATGAGACTAGATTTATATAGGATATTTGGTTGGCATGGATGAGTTGGACCAAAGGGTCTGTTTCCATGCTGTACATCTCTACAACTCTATACCTCTCTGTGCAACTAGACTGCCAAAGCCATTTCAGATAAAGAAATTAAATTATTTTACTAATTGTTGAACACATTGTAGAAGAGCTCGGGTGCCTCAACTTAGTTGCATATGGCCTTCAGTGACACAATACATAAAACTACAATCCAATCTAATCTAAAAGGGCTGGTTTGCTTTTATTGTTCATTTGCATTTTAGAAAATCAGGAAGATTATCCTTATAACTGAAAATTCAAACAACCGTAACGCAACCATGCAACACAGGAGTTGGTTGAATATCATTTTTATAATTTAAGCCTACATTTAAATAAGATGTGCTACTCACGTCAGAGAAGAAACTGATCTTTATTTTGTGTAACTTTGCATAATTTTTGACCAGCATCCATGTGCTTTGCACAAAACATCCACTAACACGATACATTGGGAAAATAACTTAATGTGCAAAATTCCAGCTAAGTGGAGTACAACAAAATAAGTCTGAAGTTAAGCATCAGCTTAAAAGAAATGCTCACCCACATGACAAAATGCATATTAACACAAAGAAAATCACTTGTGGCACAATAGTTTACATGCATTGAAATGACCTTCGAGATATTTACACAGTCAAATGGGACTCAGTTCAACATGTAATGCCAAAAGGAAAATATATGCAAGTAAACTTGTCTACTCTTATGGAGCAGCTACTTATCCAATTAACACAATTTAGTCACAAAACCTTTGTTTTGTGAAGCAACAAAAAAGACATGAATCACACGTTTTTAGATGCAAGCTTCAAACTAACGAAACAGAAAAAAAATAAATTACAACTCAAATTTTTGTAAAATCTCTCAGTAATCAAAAACAAGAACTCATCAGCCCACGTACTAGGTGGCAAGTTTCTTTTTGCCAATTTTGACTATGTGGCTATCCCTCCATAACAGTTTAAATATTTAGTGAGTGAGCCCGCATCACCAAGCCAAATTCTTTCCTTACCTAACGTCAGTCCTTAGGCCATTGTAAATCTACTGAGCAACGAACAGGAATGTGAACAGTGGTTGATTTGCCCCCTTCCTGTCCCAAGAATGTCAAAAACATGTTACTTTTAGACAGAAAACCAAATCCAGGACAATTAGTCAGTGAGACAAGATAGGAAAACGTACTGAGACATATGACACCAAGGCATTTAAGAGAAGTGAAACTCAAATTAAAGGAAAGTTTTAAAAGGGATATAATTCACCAACCTGCCAAAAATAAAAGTAACACTGCCACTTATTCTACCTCAAAAGCTTAATCACTTTGGCATTTTCAGCCAAACAACTGATTTCCCAAAGCAAGCAATCTTAATGCATCCTACCCAAGAACATGGATAACATTAATGTACTGCATGGACATACAGTTTAAAAATAACAAACTGCATAAGGAGATTAGCCACAAAAATGTAATTTACGTAACTAATGTAAAGTTTACTTCAATAAAAGACCAGTACAAACAAAACATGAAATATGAAGCACGTCACGTAGGACAAGCTACACAGGGCACATTATCTGACTTAGAAACAAAGCATTTTAGAAATGAGTGCACAAGGTGCACGGAGACAGCAGGTTACATCTGCAACACTTCGGTTAGAACATGCAGAATGCTCCTCAGTTACAGAGTCCTGTAAGCCTGCAGTGCAGTAATTAATCCAAACAGTCACTGTGTGCAGATATGCTCGTTTGCTATAGCTGTTAACAAAAAGATAATGACTGATCAACGGGCAAAATATTTCTTTTGAGTTTATCAAGCTATTCGTAAGCTTGAATAAAAGAAAGTGTTAATGATTTCAAAGAAGTGGATTCAAAATGCTAACACATCCGTACGCTACTTGCTACACCAGGATTTCAGTGAATCATTGGCCACTATGATCACTCGAACTGAGGTGAGTAAAATAGTCTGTCTGGGGTCAGCATTTTAAGCTTTGTAATGCAAACATAAAATACTTATGGTTACAGTTCAATTACAAACTGCTAGTGATAAGCCAACTTGAGCAATAAATTACTAGTGTCAGAAAAGCAGTTTGGTGCAGCATTTAAAGCGTAACAATTGGAGTATTATTTTGCCTAAATCAATTTAGTACCAAGTATTAAGTGTAGCCATATTACAGTTCATTCCAGAGGCCACAGAGATTACAGTTCACTATTTAAGAAACAACTACCACCAGGAGCAAATGGACAATAAATGGAAGAATTAAAGTGGTATTATGAAAATATTGCAACACATCAATTGCAAACCAACTCATGAAACAGATACACATTCAAAAGCGACTAGAGATATGCACAGAAATACTAGTCAATGGAGGGTCTAACAGTTGATTTTTGGGATGGAATTTTAAAAACAAATTGACATGAAATTACTATCGGAGACAAATCTACACTCAGCACTGAAAAACAGCAGTGTGAACGCAAATACAGGCAATGTCACTGAAAATACAGTTGAACTTTTGGTTTAATACTGTAAGAGCTACATTTATTAAATGAATGAAGTGCATAGCCAAACACAGTTCTGGGGAGCTCTCAAAATGTAGGAAACCAAAAATCTTTAAAGATGCATAACAAGTCAGTATTTTGTGCAATACAAAATTGTTCTATTGTCACACCTCAACAATGAAATAGAGTTAAATGCAGCTTCAGGTGATGAGCTACTGCTCTAATTTGAGACATGCACTTTGAAACACAGTAATCCAAGACACTGCCCTGCTTGGTGTTTACCAATTTTTCTAACTGGGGAGTCAGGAGCACAAGTCCACCAGAGCCATTAGCTATGAACAGGTGTTTTATGTTTTGGATCAACTGGCAGACAGGAGGCAGATAAAATTTAGCAACTAAATGCAGCCTTTAAAAGGCCTTGTCCATCTTTAGCAGGTGCCTCATGGTATCCAAGCACTAGTAGAGGCAGCAATCAGGTGGTTTGTAATTTATTTCTGAACATTTGATTGCCCAGAAAAGAAAAGCTTAAATACCAAATTTTATTTGGGAAAATCAAATGGATCTAAATTTGTGCAGCTTCCACAAACAGGAGTTTGCACTTGCAAATGGAATGTTGATATCAAGATGCTCAATAATTTGCATCTCTCCTCAGTTGAGAGAATCAACTCAGCATTCCCTAGCGTGTAATATGGGTCAGTCCTATGGAATTAAAAAAAATTACTAGTTTCTTAGAATCACCAATTCTGTAAAGTCCTCAAAGCAGGTGCTGACAATTTAGTACTTTATCTCCCAATGTAGGAATTGATGCTGATTTCCAGAAAGGCTTCTGGTCACATGAGAACTCCAAACATGCTAGTAGACTTAGAAGATTCATTTTTGAAAAATGAGTGTTTTTGTAATAGAAATGTGTGTCCATCAGGAGCCTGGAACACACAGATGTAGACCCCAAGGAAGTGAAACAAAATTAAATATTTTTCCTGAGATTCAGGTAGAAAAGATACGGCCACTATATGTAGCAAGCAAAAAAAAAATAATTTTTTCCTTGGAGAACTCCTCTTCTAAAGGTCTCAAATTTTTCAGTGATGTAGCAAGGATACAGCAGCATACAGCATTTGGATAAGGTCTAGATAGGATCCCATCCCGTCATAATAATGGGAATATTTTCATGACATTTGCTACAAGCCTGGATTTGAGATCCAAAAGTTACCAGCAATATAGGATCTCTATTATTTGAAGGAGAGTCATTTGTATGGAAGGTATATTTTGAGATAACGTCATAAGCTGGTCAAGATAAATCACAGACAATAGGTATAGAGACCAATTTCAAGGCTGGGCCTGCCATGAAATAATTCACTGACAGACTGAAGCATGGATGATCAGGCACTCGCACTCCAAGGCAGGATTCGGGTGAAGCATTTCTTGATTACAGCCTGCTTTAGCAGAGCTGATGGCAACATTAACAGTTTCTGCCCACACAGCTGGGAATTCTTTACTCTTAAAGCCCAGACGAATGCCCAAACATAGTCCAACAACATTTTTGACTGCTTCATGTGAGCAATTTGATTAGATTGCAAGCAGCATTGAGAATGGTCACTGGAAATTGCTTTGCCCTTTCACAAGACCCAGGGCACAAAACTCAGCTAAAAAAAAGTTTACAAAACACATCTTGCATGAATAATTCAAATTTGTAGCCACTGAAGGACCTAAAAGGCTGTTACATGAGCAAATTCTATAACTGAGAGTAGAATCACCAAGATTGGTCACTACAGGGTTGGGTAGATTAGGTTTGTTGTTTGTTGTTTGTTGGAAGGCCATGGAAGCTTTGCACTAATCAGGTCAAGTTAAGTAACTTTAATCCAATTTACAGCAAAAGTAACAGGTAGAATGAAAAGCATTATGCCATAAATCTGCTGGGGAATAAAATGCACTGCACAATGAAGATACACTATTTAATGATTTCTCTGCATTGTGTGAAAGTATTCAGCTACTGAATTGCTCAACATAAGGAGTAGTAAAGTCACAGACACCAATAAAGGTTACAACTTCAACATGCAGTTTGTATAGTAACATCAGGTCAAAGGCTGAAGCATGATGATTAACAAACTCCCACTAGATGAGGTAGGGAGCAACCAGCAGAGGAACTCTTATGCCCAACTGATATCCAACAAACCACGTTTACAAAGTGCATATGTGGACATTAACCAGATTTGGAATAGGGTTGTCAAACCTCAAAATTTAATCTGGAGTTCACTAAACTCACAAGAACATGAAAAACAAATATTTAGAAGAAAGATCTTTAAACATTTTTATTTATCGGATTGGTGAAACCGTACTTTTAGACCAGATGTATAGAAACAGGAGACGGTGTTGAAACCTTTAAGAATGTATCCAGAGTTATTGGTTTAGCTGAAGACCTTTCTACATAAGATAGCGAGGGCCATGTGCGAATAACTGCCTTTTGAACAAAGTACAAGGGGATCTCTGGTGTCTATTTCTAACCCCTAAAGAAGCCAGATACCAAGGTGGAAGGTACAGAGACGAGTGAAAACAAAAAAAAAATCTGAAATGGCAAGGGAGAAAATATGATTCCTCACGTAAACATGGAGAGACATGGCTTTGTAAACATTCTGGAGTATATACGCTAGTAGTGCATTGAAGGAAAGTGTCAAGGGGAAAGCAAAAGTCAAACGGGATGGGGGCCATGGATTAGAAGGCAATTACTCTCAAAAACTAAAGAATGCTGAATCACAGAACAGCATTCATAGAAAGCTAAGCTTATCAATGCTTTTAATCCACGGAAAAGGGATCCAAACACCCAGAGGAGAAAGACTCCAGTAACTGGATTAGTTTAAGTTTGAAATTTCTCTATTTTCCTCCCATCCCCAAACATGGCTCCCAAAAGAGGTGCAACAGTAATGCAACACCACACTTCATGAAATGTTGCCACTTTCCAGTGCACCAATCCAGAAATTAAATGCTGCTTTTTAGCTGTGCAATTCAGTCACTGTTTTTATCAGTATTTCGAAACAAGGAAAATATTTCATCGCAGGTTTGTGTTTCCACTGAACTGAAATGCGATTCCATTGTGTTCCATGCCATATCTGCCAAGAGAAAGTCATCCATTACAGTCTGGGTCTCATTGCTAGTGAAGAATAGACTGCTGAGGTTTTCAAAGGTCGTCTGTGTTTCAGTGCAGTTTGACCGGACATGGCTTTCAGGGGTGCAACTGAAATTATTTCTATAAATTACATCATGAGTCTGAGTTTTGGTACCAGAGGACTCTGCACTTAGAGATAAACTGGACTGTTTCAAAATACTGTCCAGAGGTAGGTGTGTACTGCCATCTATCAAGTAATTGAAATCTGTTTGAGTCTGTGTATCAAACATTTCTAGCCCTAAATAGCTAGACTGTCCCCTGCCATTGAACCCTTGAGCAGGATGGTCTGAAAACAAGAAGTCTGTCTGAGTCTCAATATCCAGAGATTCCAAAGCAGACTCTGTTTGCAACGTACCAAATTCATTCTCTTCTGTCTGTGTTTGTGTGTTGCTTGCAGATAAAAATTCAATATCAAAGTCAATACCTGCACCATGTGTCTGGGTGCCTGTCATACTCTCACCAGAGGCATCGGATAAAAGACCACGGTTTTCTAATGAATGACTAGCTATGCTTTCTGACAGGATATTTTCCAAGTCATTAAATAGGTTAATTGTCTGAGTTTGGTTGTCAGTCATAGGATTCTGTTGAAGTAAAGTGGAGTTAATATGAAAATCAACAGCTGATTTGGAGCTCTGTAAAAGATCATCATGCGATAACCTTTGGTTCATGCCCACTGCATCCAGAGGGAAATTAGTTTGAGTCTGTGTGCAAACACTGTATGAGGAAACTAAAGAATGGTCAAAAATGTCTTCATGATTACTTGTGTTAATTAGTGCTGGAACTGTACAGCTTTTATCATGAGCAGAAGTTACCAAACTAGTTTGTGTTTTCCTGGAAACACCAAACAATGGAAAACAAGTCTGACCAAACGAATCTGTCTGAGCACTTATTGACGTTGTGATTTTCAAGTCTGGTTCAAACGTTTGCGTCTGGACACTTACAGGTAGCAAAACTTGAGTGCTGATACTCAGATCAGTCTGTGCACAAGCCGACACGGTGTTCTCTGTAGAGTAGCAAGTAGCTAGAGATTCTGGTGCTGTGTTCTGTGCAAGGCATGATACGTTTGTCTGAACATTTGTGGAGTTAAGTTTGTTTTTTGTGCCGAGGTCTCCAAGTGAGGGAGAACCTTGATTATTGACAAAACCCGAATCCATGTTGACTTGCACTGCAGTACTGACAGGTTCAACCATCATGACGCTAGTAACCTTGGAGATGGGGAGACAACCTTTAAAACTTAACCCTTTCACTTCGGTAGACGGTGTCAGAGTTCCCACTGAAGGAGGCAAAATATGCATTGTGCTTAGAATAGATCCTTGATCGTCAACAGCAACAACAATGGATTTGACTGAATTATCCATGGATGTGCCTGAAGATAAAATAACTGGTAAATGTGTCAAGTGCATTACAGGAAGTTTAACAAGTGCAACCTTGGGCTTTGGTAACAACAATTTCTGAATCTGTTTGGCAGGAGCTGAAGGCTGCTTAATGCGGTCATCTCCACAGGAGTTTTTGATGCAGGTTTTTTTGTTCATCTCTATTGGATCTTGGAACACCTGGATTTCCTGCTTCACTTTTGCTACCTGGTTCAAGCAATTCTGATTTGACCACTCACTTTTTCTCTTCTTGCGTGGCGGATCCCTGTATGGTAAAGACGACAAATTTAGCAATTAGAACCTCAGTAATAGAAACCTTACCTTTCACAAAGATTGCATTCGCAAGTGTGTGGCCATTATAGTGGCCATCACAATGACCAATTTGACATATATTGAGTACTGCATAGTGGAACAAGGCTGCATCACAGAAATTTTAAATTCTGCCCCGATATGATGCCACAATATCCACAGCTCCATTCTCTGATAAACCGCTGTTCATTATGCTATCAAGAATGGTTGTTTTATTTTGTACCTTTATATTAAGCAGAGAGAACTCCACTAATTGTAAAGTGTGCAAAATTACTCCAATTTTTAATTTGCCTACATTAACCTCTAGTTGAATGTTGATTGACTCAAAACAAACATTACATGATTTTAGATACAAAAGTCTAAGAATTCAGGAGGACAGCAATGAAGACTAAAATACATAATTCTGATGAGGAGCTGGCACATGAATTGGTGTAAGCACAGCTCAAATGTTATGGTTCTTTTATTGTTACTTAATTGAGATTAGCAGACATTCCACAGCTCATGGTAGACTGAAATTAATAATCATTAGGTCTCTGAAACAATTTAAAGAACTGCAACTGTGTTTAATCATGAGGAAGTCACACAAGAATAAATAGAAGTGAAGTAGGCCATGTAGCCCTTTGGACTACCCTGTTGCAGTCCTCATCCCAATACTAAATTGACCAATCTTATTTCAAGACTGTAATCCCTTGCTCTAGTTTCTGCAGCAGGGGAATTAGCATCTTCCCGGTCAAGTCCCTTGTGCAGCTGAAATCCATATTAGCACTGAAACCAATGTACTTTAGTAAAACTAAAGACTGGCTTAATACCAAGAACCAACCTTTACTTTTTATGATTGTGACTAAATCAATCTGCTCAGAGATGTTGTTATAACTCTGGAGCTGGTGGGGCTTGAACCTGTGCTTCCTGGCTCAGAGGTTGGGATACTATGAGAGCTGCCCAACTGTAGAACAACACAGAACATAGAACAGTACAGTACAGCACAGGCCCTTCGGCCCACGATGTTGTGCCAACCCATTATCCTGCTCTAAGATCAAACTACCCTGCATACCCTACATTTTATTATCATCCATGTGCCTATCCAAGGGTCGCCTAAATGTATCTGACTCCACTACCACTGCCGGCAGCACATTCCACCACTCTGTGTAAAGAGCCTACTTCTGACATCTCCCCATACCTTCCTCCAATCACCGTAAAATTATGCCCCCTCGTAATAGTCATTTCCGCCAGAGGAAAAAGTCTCTGGCTATCCACTATGCCTCTCATCATCTTGTCCACCTCTATCAAGTCACCTCTCATCCTCCTTCGCTCCAGTAAGAAAAGCCCTGGCTCCCTCAACCTTTCCTCTAAGACCTGCCCTCCAGGCCAGGTAGCATTCTGGTAAATCTCCTCAGCACCCTCTCGAAAGCTTCCACATCTTTCCTATAATGAGGTGACCAGAACTGAACACAATATTCCAAGTGTGGTCTAACCAGGGTTTTATGGAGCTGTAACATAACCTTGCAGCTCTTAAACTCAATCCCCCTGCTAATGAAAGCCAACACACCATATGCCTTCTTAACAACCCTATCAACTTGGGTGGCAACTTTGAGGGATCTATGGACACGGACCCCAAGATCCCTCTGTTCCTCCACACTGCCAAGAATCCTGCCATTAACCCTATATTCTGCATTCAAATTCGGCCTTCCAAAATGAATCACTTCACACTTTTCTGGATTGAATTCCATCTGCCACTTCTTTGCCCAGCTCTGCATCCTGTCAATGTCCCGCTGCAACCTACAACGGCCCTCCACACTATCCACAACTCCACCAATCTTCGTGTCATCCACAAACTTACTAACCCACCCTTCCACTTCCTCATCCAAGTCATTTATAAAGATCACAAAGAGCAGAGGTCCCAGAACAGATCCCTGTAGAACATCACTGGTCACCGAGCTCCAGGCTGAATACTTTCCATCTACTACCACCCTCTGTCTTCTATTGGACAGCCAATTCTGTATCCAGACAGCCAAATTTCCCTGAATCCCATGCCTCCTTACTTTCTGAATGAGCCTACCATGGGAACCTTATCAAATGGCTTGCTATAATCCATATACACCACATCCACTGCTCTACCTTCAATGTGTTTTGTCACATCCTCAAAGAATTCAATAAGGCTTGTGAGGCATGACCTGCCCCTCACAAAGCCATGCTGACTATTTCTAATCAAACTATGCTTTTCCAAATAATCATAAATACTATCTCTCAGAATGCTCTCCAATATTTTGCCCACCACAGAAGACTGACTGGTCTGTAATTCCCAGGATTATCCATATTCCCTTTCTTGAACAAGGGAATAACATTTGCTACCGTCCAATCATCTGGTACTACTCCAGTGGACAGCGAGGATGCAAAGATCATCACCAAAGGTGCAGCAATCTCTTCCTTCGCTTCCCGTATTAACCTTGGGTAAATCCCATCTGGCCTGGGGGCTTATCTATCCTCATGTTTTTCAAAATTTCTAGCACATCCTCCTTCCTAACATCAACCTGTTTGAGCATATCAGCCTGTTTCACGCTGTCCTCACAAACATCAAGGTCCCTCTCACTGGTGAATATTGAAGCAACCTCCTCCGACTCTGCGCAAAGTTCCCTCCAACATCCCTGATAGGCCCTACCCTCAATCTGGCCATCCTCTTGTCCCTCACAAAGGTATGGAACACCTTGGGGTTTTCCTTAATCCTACCCGCCAAGGCTTTTTTATACTCCCTTGTAGCTCTCCTAAGTCCATTCTTCAGTTCCTTCCTGGCTACCTTGTAGCCCTCTAGAGCCCTGTCCGATCCTTGCTTCCTCAACCTTAAAGTAAGCTTCCTCCTTCTTCTTGACTAGATGTTCCAATTGTCTGGTCATCCAAGGTTCCTTCACCTGACCATCCCTTTCTTGCCTCAGTGGGACAAACCTATCTAGTACTTGTGCAACTTCTCCCGAAACAACCCCCAGATTTCTGCCGTGCATTTCTCGGAGAACATCTGTTCCCAGTTTATGCTCCGCAGTTCTTGCCTAATAGCATTGTAATTTCCATTCCCCCAATTAAATACTTTCCCATACTATCTGCTCCTATCCTTCTCCATGACTATAGTAAAGGTCAGGGAGCTGTGATTGCTATCCCGGAAATGCTCTCCCACCAAGAGATCTGACAGCTGGCCTGGTTCGTTGCCAAGCACCAAATCCAACATGCCTCCCCTTTAGTCGGCCTATCTACATAATAAGTCAGAAATCCTTCCTGGACATGCCTAACAAAACCTGCTCCATCCAAACTATTTGCACTTGAGGTTCCAGTCAATATTAGGGAAGTTGAAGTCACCCACGACAACAACCCTATTACTTCTGCACCTTTCCAAAATCTGCCTCCCAATCTGTTCCTCGGTGTCGCTGTTGCTATTGGGGGGGGGTCTATAGAAAACTCCCAATAAAGTGCTCTTTTCCTGTTTCTGACTTCCACCCATACCGACTCAGTGGAAAAACCCTCCTCGATGACCTCCCTTTCTGCAGCTGTGATACCATCCCTGATTAGCAATGCCACTCCCCCAACCCTTTTTACCTCCCTCCCTATTTCTTTTGAAAAATCTAAATCCCGAACCATCCAACAACCATTCTGTCCCTGCGTTAACCAAATCTTCGTAATGGCCACAACATCATAACTCCAAGTACTGATCCATACTCTAAGTTCGTCACCCTTATTCCTGACCCTTCTTGCGTTAAAATAGACAAACTTCAACCTGTTGCACTGACTGCAACCTTGCCTAATCAATTGTTTATCCTTCCTCACAGACTCTCTGTATGCTGTATCTGCCTGTACACCGGCTACCCCATCCTCTGATCAGTAGCTCCAGTTCCCATTCCCCTGCCAGACTAGTTTAAACCCTCCCAAAGAGCTCGAGCAAACCTCCCGCCCAGGATATTGGTGCCCCTCCAGTTCAGGTGCAACCCATCCTTCTTGTACAGGTCCCACCTTCCCCAGAAGGTATCCCAATGATCGACATATCTGAATCTCTCCCTCCTACATCAGCTCTGTAGCCACGTGTTCAGCTGCACTCGCTCTCTATTCCTAGCCTCACAACCCGTGGCACCGGTAGTAATCCTGAGATTACTACTCTGCTCATCTTGCCTCTTAGCTTCCAACCTAACTCCCTATATTCACTTTTTAGGTCCTCATCTCTTTTCCTAGCACTGAAGTGTACCATGATTTCTGGCTACTCATCTTCCCCCTTAAGAATCCTGTAGGCTCGATGCGATACATCCCTTACCCTGGCACCTGGGAGGCAACATACCATCTGGGAGCCTCGATCAGGACCACAGAATCTCCTGTCTGTTCCCCTAACCACTTAATCTCCTATCACTATCGCTCTCCTATTCTCCCCCATTCCCTTCTGAGCCACAGAGCCAGGCTCAATGCCAGGGACCTGGCCGCTATGGCTCTCCCCGGTAGGTCGTCCCCCACAACAGTATCCAAAGCAGTATACTTATTACTGAGGGGAACGGCCACAGGGGATCCCTGCACGGTCTGCCTATTCCCCTTCCCCCTCCTGACTGTCACCAGCTACCTTTATCCTGTGACTTAGGTATGACAACCTCCCTATAACTCCTCTTTGCCTCCCGAATGATCCAGAGTTCATCCAGTTCCAGTTCCCTAATGCGGCCTGTGAAGAACCGGAGTTGGGTGCACTTCTCGCAGGTGAAGTCAGAAGAGACACTAGTAGTGACCCTTACCTCCCACATCCTAGCAACTGCCCTAGCTTCCATCCCCTCTACTCCGGATTGCCAAAAAAAAAAACTTACCTTACCGACCCTCCACACACAGCCTTTTTTGTTTGGTTAGAGGAGGAGAATGGTGGGAGACATTACACTGTAGTGTTTCAGGTTTAGCCACTGCCCGAATATATTAGTTCACTTACCCAGCTGGCCCTAGCTCGCGCTC